TAAATACAAGTGGTAAGATTGTATACAGTTGGGAGTCTTTTGAAAATGTAGGTTTCCAGATCTTGCCCTCTTAAATTCTGATGTATTAAGCTTCTTTTGGGATACTAGAAAAAAAATACATTTTACACTTTCCAACTGATACTGATTTAGGAATATTCTAATAACATATATGCCAGACACAGTAACAACAAAGTCTCCAATGGAGACGTTACTGGGCCCGCTCGAGCAAATCGACGATCAACGGGAGGGCCTTTACCTTTACCTTTACCTTAAGAAATCTTTAAAGGATTAACCTAATTTACCTGAAGACTTTTCCTGATTGTGAAAGAAAATTATACTCTTTCTTCTTTCATTTTAACTTCCATTCTTTTAACATAACAATTGTGAGTCCAAATGCTGTGTTGTGTGTTTGTGTGTGTACTGAGAACTCTATTGAGTTATTTCTCTTTCTGTGGCTCTAGCTTTGGCATGGCTTGCATGTAACAATTATTATTAAAATGTCAACTGCCTTTAGAAAAGAAAAGTTAAAGGGCTTTCCTTTCCATTCATTTTTTCACATTGAAAAAGGAACAATCCTTAAAAGACCCAGAAAAATATATGTTTGGAAGTTGTCAAGGTTATAGTTGGATTAGTTCCTTTCTATATACAGATCCATAACCACACATGCATAAACACAAAGAATCATAAGCTTGTGTCCATATGTACACCACATGAATGAAATAATATAAGTTAAATAATTCTAAATGATGACCACTTACATCACATACACTTGAATACAATAAAATTGCTTTGGAGAAGCATGGATAACATGTGGTTTCCTAAAAATAATTGTTTACAAATTAAAGGAACAAAGAGTTTTTGTAGATTAAAAGAAAGAATATCACAAGTGTTTATGAATAGAAGTTAAGAAATAGTATAAGCTGCATGTTTTCATAGTGCATTTTACCTAGGGAGGAAATTAAAACCAGGTTATTTGGTATCTGCATTTTTTATGATCATGGTTACTGGCAAGCTACCGAGAGTATTCGATATGCCAAACACAGTAACAACAAAGTCTCCAATGGAGACGTTACTGGGCCCGCTCGAGTAAATCTACGATCAACGGGAGGGCCTTTACCTTTACCTTACCTTTACCTTTATGGTTACTTGACCTATCCTGGTAAAATGTCTTTCATTCCCAGTGTTAGTTGGTGAGGTAACTGGATGTTTGGTTAAATAGTTTCCCTTTTCTTATTCTCAATCTAGCATATTTTCCCTGACGTCACTCAGTCAGAATTTTTATGATAAGAGGTCTTGTGTATGAAAGGCACACTAGAGAATGGAAAATGTGGAAACACTGGAATAAGCCCAAAAAAGTCAATACTCCCAATAGGATAAGAAGACATATGAAATGTGATTTACTTTAAGGGAATATGAGAGGATTGAAGATAGATGTTAGAAAGGAGAGAGAAAGTGAAAACAAAATGGAAAAAAATGATGAGATAAAGAAAACATTAATTGAGAGAACTATCTATCCCAAATAGATAAAATTTAAAAAAGAATCATTTTAGAATATAAAGATAGATGTATTTGATTACATTTGTATTAAAAGATATTTAAATTTAAAATTATTTCAATGACAAAATAGTTCCTAATATACTATAACAAAGTATCTTTAAACTTCTGAATAGAGGTAAACAAAAATCTAGCAGTGTTTGACTCCTAATACTCTAACGTTCTGAAAAAATAAGAAATATATTAAAATTCATACTTGTTTACAGCAATAATGATTAATATATAAAATAAAAGACAGAAAAATAAAGCTAGGTATTTCTTCAAATGAAAACTTCTTAAGCATAGTTGGCGAATGAATATATAAGAGCATGGAGAATTCTGAAGGTTTTAAACTATCAAAGCACTACATTCATTCAAATAATTATTAAAACTTATTTGCTTACATTTTACATATATCTTACAATCAATATCAAATAAAATAATCATAGTTGGTTTGTGATATGATTAGTAGCCAAATAGCATTAATTTTTATGTTTAATTTATGAATCTATTGCTTCTTTTTCTGGTTTTTCTTTTTAAATCATACCCAATGATGCTCAGGAGTTACTCCAGGCTGGGCACTCAGAGACCACTCCCGGAAGTGCTCAGGGAACCATATGGGATGCTGGAGATTGAACTCAGGCTGGCTGCATGCAACACAAGCTCCCTACCTGCTATATTATCCCTCCAGCCCCATAAAATGCTCCTTTTATACCACTTGGGATAAAAACATTTGTATATTAAAAATTTTAAGTCACTGTGATTTACGATTTTGCAATATAGCCAATGAAAAAGTTTCATAAAAACATTTCAACACCACACTTCTCATCAGAGTGTCCCTTTCTCTCCATATATATAAATATGTCAAATACATATATTTCTATATGTACATATATATTTTTAAATAGTCGATATTAAGGGAACATGATTTTCAATGACGCAAACATATACAGGCCCAAGTCACGCTATTCATTGACTATGTTACCCTATTTTATACCTTATTTTATTCTTTTCTCCATTTCCATCTTTTCCTTCCCCTTCTATTTTTAGTCCAAAATGTGTATTGAGTATTTACTATATCTCAGTATTTACTGAGATCATGACGTAGACTAGTGGACTAGCTATCCATCATTACCGGTGTAAAGCATGTGAAGTTTGTAGGGAAGAGACCTTGGTATACAATAGGACTTGAGCTCTGAAAAACAGATTAAAAAGCAGGTTACGAAGGCCTCTGAACTTTAAGATAAAGAAATTCAAATGAACATGCTGAGAACTGACCAACAATTACAAGCCAAATGTTTAGTGCAAGAAGTGTAAGGGAGGGCTGGAGTGATAGTACAGCGGGTAGGGCATTTGCCTTGCACGTGGCCGACCCGGGTTCAATTCTGAGCATCCCATATGGTCCCCCTAGCACTGCCAGGAGTAATTCCTGAGTGTAGAGCAGGAGTAAGCCCTGTACATCACTGAGTGTGACCAAAAAGAAAATAAAAAGAAGTTAAGGGAGATCATTCGAGGACAGAGTACCACAACATTCAGAGCAGCCAAGGAAGACAGGGTGTCAGTGGTTACAAAGATACTGAACACCTTGAAAAGCAAGTGAGGCTGAGTGGTTTGGACAGGTTCTGTTGGTACAGTTGGAAAGAGGAGATTGGGAGTCAAAATAGAGTCTTCAGAGCCAAGAGTTCTACAGGTAAATCCTGTGAACCCTGACAGAAGGCAGGGGTAGGTAAGGATGGGGGAGGGGTGGTAGGAAGTCATCTGGTAAGGATTGTGGAAGCAGTGATGTGACCGGTAAATCATTATTTCCTTGGAGAGAGTGTTACTACCTGTTCAAGAAAGTGTTACTTCCAATGGAGAAGCTAAAAGTTTGAGTCTGACAGGGTCCAGGATAAGAGAACTCAGAGCTGACAGAGATAGAAAAGCCTTGAGAACTGGCCAGGGCAGTGCTTCTTCCTCTGAGGCTGAGGGGCATGGCTTGACACTGAGATTTTCTTTGTAGCACGGAGGGAATCCAGTTCACATTGATCCCAGTACTCCAGGTGGTTCTTAGTAGAAAGAAGAGTGGCAACATCAGGCCACAAAAAGGCCAAGTGACTGAAGTGGTAGAAAGCCAAACATGAAAGAGTGGAACCCATCAATAGGTTAGCTAGGAGCATGGAACCACTCCCACTCGTGCTTTAGAAACCACTCTAAGTTCTGCTGTGTAACATGGGGAGGCTGCAGTTCAAAGGAGGAAGCTAACACACCCTTGAGCATCACATTATCTTCAGAAACATTGGTACAAGGTCATGGAGAGGAGAACCCTGATTTAACCTCAGTGACTACAGGTTGAGCCCAATGATGTTACTTGTTTTCCAAGTCACCCTATATGGTATGAGTTACTACTTCTGGCCACACCCACTGGTGCTGGGGGACTAATTCTGACTGTGCACTGAGGGGACCACCTCAAATGGTGTTTAGAAAGGTGCAGGGATGGGAGTATATTTTTCCCAGCTTGCAAGAATGAGGGTTTATGTACACATCGGAAAGTTAGTGGGTGTGTAAAGAGTTTAGCCTGAGCATCATAGCCTGCATCCAAAACAGCAACTCCGGACTCCTAATCATCCCAATTGCTCCCAAACTTTCAAACTTCCAGGTCCTCCTGAGTCCCCACCTCTGGGTCTCCCAGGGACCCAGCAAGAGAGATTTGGAGGAGTTCTGGTCTGACTCTCTCCCTGAAATGGGAAAGTGGGAGCAGAGTTGTCCCTCAAGTGCAAAGCTCTCCCTTACACCTAACCAGCTGCTGGTCCTGCACTGGCACCCCAGGAGAAACGAACGGTTGCCTGCAGCAAACTGCAGCTGGGGTGCCTTCGCCTAGTCCCACAGACTCGCGGTGGGACGCGGGGCTTCCACGAGCGGGGGAGCCCAGAGTGCATTTGGCGGGAGAGGGCCCGTGCTGACCGGTGCAGCAGCTTGGCTTGGGAACCTTCCCTTTCGCATCAGCCTATCTGTGCCAAGAGCTGAAAAACTGGGGCTGCAGGCTGGAGGCAGGGCGTCGGTGTGGAGAGCACTGACCCGCGCGCCCTGGGGCTGGGAGACGCGTGAAGGGGGAGCCCAGGGCGCAAGCCAGGGGGAGCCCGCTCTCTGCTCCAGTCCACCAATCCTTAACGGATTTTCTCTCTCTCTCTTTCTCTCCTCTCCCTTCACCCCTTCTCTTCTGCTTTGCTCCCTTTCTTTCTCTCTTCCTCGTTTTCCCCTCTCTTTTCCCTCTCCCTCCCCATCCCCCCTTTTCCCCTCTCTCTCCCCTCCCCCCCTCTCCCCTCCCCCCAACCTCTGTGTGTCTGTGTCTGTGCTTGTCTCTGTGTCTGTGTGTGTGTGTGTGTCTGTGTGTGTGTGTCCGTGTCGGTCTGTGTGCGCGCCTCGTCCTCCCCCTGCGCCCCTCGCCGCCTCCCCCTACCCCTCTCTGGGCGTCTGCTCCTCGCTCCCAGCTCGCCGGGCGACCCTGCTCCTGCCTCCCACGTTAATGGCGGCATCTTCCGAGGACGATATTGACCGGCGGCCCATCCGGAGAGTCCGCTCCAAGAGCGACACGCCGTACCTCGCCGAGGCCAGGATCTCCTTCAACCTCGGGGCAGGTAAGGACGCGGCGGCGGCGGCGGCGGCGGCGCTGAGCGCTCGCCCAGCTCGCCCCAGCCCGCGGCCCGCCCTCCCTCTGCGCCGGCCCGCTCGGCACCTCGCACCCCTCCTCGCCCCTGCAGGGGTGGCCCCCGCCCTCCCGGCCGGGCCCTCCCCGCGGACCCCCCTCGCTGCCCAGCCCGGGGCTCCGAGCTCCTGCTCTCCTCGTTCTCTTTGTGTAAAGGAGTGTGTGCATGTGTGTGTGTGTGCGTGTGCATGTGCGTGCGTGCGTGCGTGTATGTGTGTGTGTGTGTGTGTGTGTGCGTGCGCGTGTGTTGCAGAGGTGTGTTTAGGGCGGTGGGGGGAGAGGGTCGTGCACGGAGCCCTCCCTCCCTCCATCCATCCATCCATCCAGGAATTACACACGGGCTTTCCCTTGCCTTGAAGAAAGTGGTGTCACGGATAACAATGATCACAGGAATAACCCACAGCTGGGTCAGCGTGTGAGCGAGCGCACTGCCAGGGGGCGGGGGTGGCGGGCGGGCTGCTCCGTGGCTCAGACCCGCTGGCTGGTGGCGGGGGTTTTACTACGGGGTGGAACTTGTTGGAGACATTCAGACAGACTCTCGTGGTTTTTCCAGGGGGTTGTCCCACGGCTCGGGAAGTGGGGGGGGGGGATAGAGTGGGGAGGAGGTTGCTCATTTGGAACAAGATCTAGCCCTGCAGCAAGCAGTTTGTGAGAAACCATGGGAATAATAATGGGGGTCTATAGGGTACCACCTGAGGTTCTTTGACGCTGTCATTGAAGCTGGGGTCCCGAGTGGCCCAGATGGGAATTAAGCAAAAAGAATAACTGAGGTGAAAGAGAGAGAGAGAGGTAGAAAGGAAGGGGAAGGAGGGAGGGAAGAAGGGAAGGAAGGAAGGAATGAAAAAAGGGAGAGAGAGGAGAGAAGGGATGAAGAAAGGAGAGAGGGAGGATAGAAGGATGGAAAGCAAGAAGGAAGGGAGAAAGGGAGGGAAGGAAAATTTGAAGGAGGATAGAAGGAATAGAAGTAAGGAGGTAAGGAAGAAGGGGAGATGTTAAGATGGAAAGAAGGAAGGAATGGAGAAAGGAAGGGAAGGAAGGATTGGAAGGGAGGAAGGAAGGAATAGAAAGGGTAAGGAAGGAAGGGGAGAAGTTGGGATGGAAAGAAGGAAGGAATGGAGAAAGGGATGGAAGGAAGAATTGGAAGGAGGATGGAAGGAATAGAAAAAGGGAAGGAAGAGCAGTAAGGATAGAAAGAAGGAGTGACTGGGTGGAAAGAAAGAAGGGAAGAAGGAAGGAGAAATGGAAGGAAAAGGGAGGGAGAGAAAGAGGAAAGAAGGAAAGAAGGACAGAAGGAAGGAGGGAAGGAAAGAAGGAAGGAAGGAAGGAAGGAAGGAAGGAAGGAAGGAAGGAAGGAGGGAAGGGAGGAAGGAAGAAAGAAAAGGATTGTAGGGAACGAAGGAAGGAAGGAGTTAGTGAGGAAGGAAGGGAGCATTTAGGTGTAGTCAAAATTGCTAAAGTCAAAATTGCTTTAGTTGAGACAACCTGATTAAAAGTTATTACCTGATTACCTGATTGGAATATGGTTTCTAGTTATCTGATTAGAACTCCCCAGCGTCTGCTAACCATGGCCACTCTATAATCACAAAAAAATCTCACCTCTGTTACTAGTATCAGGGGTAACAGGGTCACTGGGTAAAAGCTGTCCCACCACTAGCTTCCAGTACTGACTTTTCTGAATGATTCCTAAGTTTCCCCCTGGCTGTATCACTTCCTTTCAAGAGTTGCTGGGTATTCTAACATCTCCAGTGCAAAAAGAGAGAGACCATTTTCCTGAAGATCCAACTTCAAAATATGCTTAAAACCTGAATGTTACTTTTTACTGTAGGAAAATAAATCCACTGAAAGAGTGGAACTGAACCAGAGTGTATATATGGGTAAATGTATATATTGGTTCAAAGAGCACCTTCAGATAATGCATATTTTATATGAAATGGAGAAAACTGGGCAAAATAGAAAATTGCACAAGAAAAGACACATGGCTCATCAACCATTTCTTCCAGATTGCAAGAATGGCAACTGAATAGGCAAGAGTAGTCAAGTTCCTTGGAATGTAATTTTCCTGCTTTTGTGGTTTGGGTATTTTAATCATGCATTTCCTTAGGATGTCTGAAACTATTTTCTTTGGATTGGGGGCTGTAAACAAAGAGACTTTATTAGAAGAGTTTTGATTTTTTTTTTTTTGTGGGTGCCCATGGTATCATTTTGGTATCATTCTGCACTCTTATGTTCAGTTATACAGAGTAGTTGATCTTGAAAAAGAGTGAAGAAGAGTTTATTTTAGAATAGAGATTTTTTTTGCCATCTGGTTATTCATTTACCCCTGAGTTTTAACTATGGTCCAGAGGCTGAAAAGTTAATAAACAGAAAGTTGACCTGGGTTAGATCCTAGCACCTGATGTCCCCCGACCTGCCATCAGAAGTGGTGATCCCTGAGGATAGAGCAATATTAAGCCCTGTACATTGAGGGGTGTGTCCCTAAAACCAATATAAAATAAAACTCTGGTCTATTCTCCTAATATTCTCCTTTTCACAGGAGAAAAGGTGCCAAAGACACTGTTAATGGAAGTCATTATTCTCTCCCAGTGCCTTTACAATAGTACAAAAAACACGGTACAAAGAAACTGAGTTTCAAAGTTTCAACTACTTCAAACGTGGCATTGAGCCATTTTGCCATCAGATTAAACCCAGTGATTTGTAATCACCGGGTAAATTGGCTAAACTTTCTAGAAGTTTAATATTAGGGTTTTCACACCCAGCTGCTCTCTTTCAGCTGAAAAATAATGAAGCCTAGATAAACTCTCAATGACTTCTATATGCCTCTTGGAATATCTCTAGAAGCAACGTACCAAGTACTCATGACAAAGAGATACAGTTGACAGTCTTGGTAAAACAGAGAGCAAGGCCACCCAGGCACTGATATGCGGCGCGGGGAGCTGTCCTGTCTCGGTGGTGCTGAACTAGACCATGTGACAGAGATGTGCTTGTGAGCTGGACAGAGGAGAGAGAGATGCTCAGGCAATGAGGCAGAAATCCCAGTGCAAACGCCAAAGATTTAGCTTAGGAAAGTATTTTATCCCTGCCCACCTACATTTGCCGCCTGTTTACTACGCCTCACGCCTACTGCTCCACTACTCAAACGGATGGCTTCGCTTTAATTTTGCGCCGGCTGCTCACTCCTGGGGCTTTGTTTATTTTCCAGCTGGTTTCTGGTTGCTTTCCTGACATACTAAGATCTGCTCGCAGATGTGCCTTTCCCCCGCGTTTAAAGTAATTGTAACCCCTGGTTTTAAAATCAAACAGCCTTGTTTATCTCCTTGAGCAGCAAGTTGTAATTAAACTATTAGGGTCATTATCAGAGTTGTTGAACAGAGGAACTTGCCTGTTCTGGATAGATTACATAATTTGGGCACAGGGAGAATTTTGTTTTGCCTTAACAACAATTTCTGTACAATTATGCATGGCAACTTGCATCTGCCCTTCTTATGAGTAGTCTCCTACCCCAGCCACTGATCGTTTGTTCTTTGCAGAAAAATTCTTTATGGGATTAAGCCATTTTGATATTTGCTGCCTTAATATTGTAATATTTGCTGTCTTACATGAACTGTTAGGTATTAACCCATGTTTAATATTATAGAAGTTTAGTCGTGCTTTATGGTTTTCCTCTTGGTCATCACAAAATCATTTTGTTCTTTAAACTAATGTTTACAGTTGTCAAACAAAGTAGGCTGGACATTTTGAATGCTAATTGATTGCAGGAACATTTATTGAGCTACACTCTGTCTCTAATAATTCTTAATGATATTGCAGAAATAAGTCCACATTTGGAGTAAAAGTAAATACACTATATACCTATATAGTCACTCACTATATAAATCAAAATGAGATGTGGGTATTTTAGTCACTTTATGAAGATGCTCATTTCATGATTCAGTCTAGTTAAGAAAGTAAGAGAACAGAACCTTGATTTTAATTTTTCTAGAAACTTTCTTCCACAAGTTTGAATTCAGATGCAATAAATGCGACATTCATGTAACAGAAGAGTATGTTCACACTATTAGTAGCAAGTGTTTATAATTGTGTTCTCACATAGTAATGAACATCAATGACACCTAACTTGTAAAAATTACCCTTTAACACTAGGTCATTCTTTCACTGCATCAAATTGATGCAATTAAAAATTGCCGCTTATCTTGCAGATATTTTACTATGTGCCAGAAAATTCTGTTTATTTGTATACTGACAGTATAATAGAAAAGTATTTGATGTTTATTAAACCAAAAATTTTCATACAATATCACTAAATCAAAGTGTTATGTTAAGTTTGAGAGTTAAATGCAAATGAATTTCTTAAAGAGGTGTCAGTAAAAGGAAGGCTCATCACTCTGATGATTTATAACTGTTAAAAACACAAAAATAATACTGGGTACTGTTGAGATAAGTTACTCCTAATCTCACCATAAAGAAGCTTAGCCACTGTCAACGTTCCATAAATGCTTTGTAAGGGAAAGATTTTAAGGGAATAGCATAGTCAATTCTAGCATACTTACCTTCTTGGCAAGTTAGTTCCTGATATCTCTCCAGAGTAGCTGTTTCAATCTCAAAAATGACTTGTTATTAATTTAGAAGAACAAATAGGCTTAATATTGGTTAAACAGAGGAGTTCCTCGTTTTATTTTGGTTTGGAACACACCTGCTGTGTTCAGGGCTTGCTTCTGGCTCTGTGCTCAAGGATCACTCCTGCTGGGCTCAGGGACCATATATGGCACAAGGAATCCAAACCAGGTTGGCCATGCGTAAGGTATGTAGCTGGTTTATTATACCCCCTGTATGATAGCTCCGGCCCCAGATCTCTTTCATATATTTTCCTATTTTTATTTTGTTTTATTTGTGAGGGTCACATGCTGTCGTTCTCAGGACCTACTCCTGGTTCTG